AGGAGGACCGGTGATAGGATTGTTTTAAAAATGTTGATTTTTATATAAAGGCACCTGCTCCATCTATTTAAAATATTATCAGGGTTACAGTGTTACCGTATCATTTGAAAAGTGGTAGCAGCTTTGTTATTTTAAATGGAAGTATATTATTACATTTTTGTAAACTACTCTCTATCTCTTAAGTCTCGTTTTCGAGATAAAAAATAAAATATGTGTAAAATTGACAAAAAAATAATTTTGAATAAGCATTGGTAAAATCATGAATTGAACATTTTTATAATTGATTTTTCAATTATAACGAAAGTCGGAAACACAAATCGTTAGAAAACTAGAATTAATTCAATTGATGTTATCCGACTTAATTAATTATACGATAATTTAAAGTTTATGAATTATAGTCAAACTTCTTTAATATTATTTTGAATGACCCGAAAAAAATAGAAGGATAACCTACAAAAAAAAATAAGATCCCATCAAAAACATAGAATGTAAAAAAATGCCAAGTCTCACAACACAATTCCTCCGGTAGGTATAAAAAGTTGTGAGATCTCATGTAAAACCAAGTCAGTTTATTTTATTTAGTCTCTCTTTAAGCACCTATTCAACAATGTTGTTATAAATTATTGTTAGTATCAATATTATACCTAGTCATTTTTATTTCTATAATAATTATAATGACTTGGTATACGATATAATAGGTATTCTATAGTAATTAAAAAACTTCATTCTTAAGTACATCGCACCGTTTAGATTTACTTAATAATCGAAATAGTAGATTATTCTTTTTTATAATTATGGTGCCGTGCATGCAATTGCCAAGTCATCTTTATTTCTATAAGAATTATTATAATGACTTGGCAATTGCACGATATGATATTCTCTAGTAATTAAACTTTAGTCTTAAGTGCACCGTTTATTAGATTTACTTAGTAATCGAAATAGTAGATTATTCTTTTTTATAATTATGGTGCCGTGCATGCAATTGCCAAGTCATCTTTATTTCTATAAGAATTATTATAATGACTTGGAAATTGCACGATATGATATTCTCTAATAATTAAAAAACTTTAGTCTTAAGTGCACCGTTTATTAGATTTACTTAGTAATCGAAATAGTAGATTATTCTTTTTTATAATTATGGTGCCGTGCATGCAATTGCCAAGTCATTATGATTATTATAGAAATTAAGATGACTAATATTGATACTAACAATTTATATCAAAATTGTTGAATAGATGCTTAAAGAGAGACTAAATAAAATAAACTGACTTGGTTTTACATGAGATCTAACAATTTTTTATAGCGGAGGAATTGTGTTGCGAGACTTGGCATTTTTTTACATTCTATGTTTTTGATGGGATGATATTTTTGGCAAAATTCTGACGTTGGTTACTAGAAATAATGCAGTGGTATGATTTTAAATACAAATAACACCCGTAGAGTTTAATATCGATTCTTTTTGTGCAAAAATATAGAGCTCGGGATACGTCCCTGAAAATGTTCCTCGTTTCGTTCGTAATGCTTTCGTAGGGTGCGAAGCATTCGACTGAACGTAACAGCTGATGTCACTCTGTCCCCTAAAATTCGGCGGCCGCGCGCGGCCAGAGACAGAATTTTCATTAAAATTATTTGTGCGCCCTTCGCCCAAACTGCGATAATTTCGTAAAATATGTATTCCGCTTCCTTATCTTCGCTATATAAATGTCGCGGATGAAGGGGGTTGGGTTATTAAGTTATCTGCGTTGGGTCCTCCGAATGCGATTCTATTTTTTGTTACCTTTTTCCTATTTTTTTTTGTATTTTTGTATTTTTTATAACTGTACGTTGTTAGTTACTATCTCAGATAAAGAATATAAATAGACAAAACTTACTGTAAAAATCAAAAACATGATCTATATAAATGTTGCGAATTTTGGAAATCCTATTTTCATATGTTTTATGGGGTTTCTCGTTTATGATGTTGTGGTTTTCACATCACTGCACTTTTTAATTAATTTCGACAAATTACTGACATTATTTTTGTTTTAACTGACAGAAAATGATAATTATATATTATAATATTAATCTTGTCTCATCATGTATAACTTATTAGGACAAGTTTCTATTTGATTTAAAGTCAAATAGTTAAATAATAGATTATATTAGGCTATACCGGGTAAATTCCAATCAGGGTTCGGAAGTAGTTAATTAAGACGTAATTTACTTGATTAACTACGTGTAGTTTTTCTTCAAAAACTACGTATTTTCCTGTTCATTAACTACATGAAAACTATGTTAATAAACTATGTATTGAAATTATGAATAATTTCCCTTTGTATGAGGTGTAATAGAGATAATATGATGTAAATATTATATTTAAAGTCATATTTCTTCTGTTTTCTTAAATACATTATGTGTTTTTAAAGCTTCAACTTATAATAACCTCACCTCAAACCTTTGATATTTGAAAGTTACATACATAGGTTACATAAACTACATCCTCTACATAAACTACATTAACTACATGTAATGTAGTTTATGTAGTTTTTAAAAGTAACATGTAGTTTTCCGAACCCTGATTCCAATTTAGGTAGGTTTTATTGCAATTTAAAATTTGTTCTTCATTTTTAGAAAATGTTAAATATGTCAAAAACCTTTCATTTTAGTCATATACTTCACTAATAAAACTCACCATGATTTGTCTCCTAGAATCCATAAATCAATTAATATATAGGGTGTGCCATTAAAAAAAAGCCAACTTTGATGTGTAACTTTCTTTGTAGTCATCCTGTAGAACTCTCTATGTTTTTAAAAAAATGGTCTAAATTAACCTACATATGCTTACAAAATTTCATTTCAATACAAACTGTCATTCTCCTTGGAGCCTCCGCGACGTATGATAAGCGCCACCCTCTATACTAATTCATTATAATAAAATTAAATCATAAAAATATTGTAATTATATTCCTGCAGTCTGCAGTTTAAGTGAAAAGTTTTGTTCTTAAATATTTACTATACATATTATAAACGTGATGTGTTCAAATATTAATTTTGTGGAATATACATTTTTTATTTATTTGTTAATATCTCTCAAATTATTGAAATATATTTACTCATATCTAAGGATTATGTAAAGTGATCTGAAAAGAAGCTAAAAATGCAATAATACACAAGGTGTTCCATTTAAAAAAAATCATTCTGATTCACTCACACTTTTTTGAGCCACCCTATAGAAGTTAAAATATTTTCCTGGAATACATCCTAGAACATACTTTAGATTTGCACTTAAATAAAATTCTTAAGTTTTTTATTCTGCGAACTACAGATACCCGACGCACTATTGCCGGACCCTGTATATCAACATAAAACGAGATGTAATTAGCGAAATATCATCGTAACAATAGATATTTTAGAAACGTCTAGGTTTACTTATTTCACTGAAATTTATGAAAAAAAAAATCTTTGCCTCCGGTACAGATACCGCCACGTTTTGGAAATAGCTTTAAACAAAACTAAATTGAACGAGGCAACAAAAAACGGCAAAAAATCCCCCCTCGCCCTCCTCACGAGTAGTTTTCAGGCGCTTTTAAGAATCGAAAGTAGATCCAGGCAAACCGAAGTGGGTCAAGACAACTGGAAATAAATTGAAATGCGTTCAAAGTTGGGCAACGAAATGCGATCTTGACATGTTTCGAATTGCTTCTGGCATAGTGTGTATGCTGTTTAACATAAAACATTTATTTGCATCTAAATAAAAACCTTGGCCAACGTTTATTGAAAGGGCTGTATGAAAAAACCTTAACCCGATTTAAGTAGATAAGTAAGATATATATATATATATATATATATATATATATATATATATATATATATATATATATATATATATATATATATATATATATATATATATATATATATATATATATATATATATATATATATATATATATATATATATATATATATATATATATATATATATATATATATATATATGTAGCTGTATTAGAGAATAACACCACCAAGATATACTGGGACTTTACAGTAGAAACAGATACAGGAGTAGAACATAATAAACCCGATATGGTAATATGGAATAAACCTGAAAAAACCGCCATCATAATCGACTTCTCAGTACCGCAGGATTATAACGTGGCTAAAGCCTATGCAGATAAGATAAACAAGTACGCTGCACTTTCTCAGGAAATAAAAGCAATCTGGGAACTGCGGAAGGTGATTATAGTACCGTTAATAATAAGTGCCAATGGACTTGTGCACAAAATGACAAACCAACATATCAAAGAACTAAACCTCCCGAACAACACCATAATGTGGATGCAAAAAGCAGTTGTGCTTGGTACCGTCGGAATTATTCGAAGAATTGTCTCACCTTATTGACAATATTCGTCGTGCCCTTGGCTGGTTACAGCCCGGACATGGACTAGAACTACCACTAACAGTGTGAAAAAAAAAAAAAAAAAATATATATATATATATATATATATATATATATATATATATATATATATATATATATATATATATATATATATATATATATATATATATATATATATATATATATATAACCACCTTCGCTAAGAAATCATTACAAACTTAAACAGAAAGCAAAAATGTCCCAACATAGACTATTATACTCGTAGTATGATTATAACTAATATAATGATTACTACCGTGAGTTGTCATAACTAGTAAAGTTATGATACGCACTTAACCTAACCTCCGCTCCTGCGTTTCAAAGAAATGGCGCGCTTTTGCTCGCAGCACCCCCAGGCGGCCGCTCCGCTCCCGTCCCGCCACAAATCGGTCACCGTGGCGCCCTCTTAGCGTCAGCTTTACATTCCGCACGAATGAGCACCGCGATCGATACCACGCCTCCGCCTACCTTCCACCCCATTGGCCCTGCGTCCAACGTCTGCGTTCCCATTGGCCGACGCGGACAGGCGAGTACACCTAGCAAGGTGTGCTGCTCGCCCATACGAGGGCCGTCAGTCGAAAGTACTCGGTCGAGAAGGGTGTTTGGGGAGTTTGCGGTGGCCCGCTTGATGAGGGAAAATAGGAATATTCACGTGGAGGCTCATCATCAGCTCATTGAGTTCGAATTCGTCGATTCTTCGGAGTTGTTGACTCGAGCCTAATCGGGTAAACGGGAATTGGTTAATTGCCTTTGAGTAATTTTTGTTTTTTTTTGTCTTCGTTTGGAATCATCGATTGAATCGAAATTATAGTTTTGCCGTCGCGTCGTTTACTGTTTTTGATGATATATGATGGTGCTATAGTGATGCCCATTTGAATGATCATCGTAACATCTCTTTGAATTTTGTAAGTTTGTTTTATTTTTTTCTTCTATTTTTAATGTTAGTTTTAGTGACCTTTGTTATTAAAAATATCTAGTTTATGAAATCATTCGATTGCTGTACCTGCGTTTATAAAAATTTCATATTTTAAATAAAAAAAAATAAAGAAAGTTGATAATTCTATAAAATTATAAAATTTATTTTTTCAAGCACGTCTTTATTTTAATGTACCTATTTAATATCTTGTTAAATATTATTACACAGATTTATTGGTACTGTTTAGTCTATATCAAATTTTTACTTGGTATTATTTGAATGATCATCGTAACGTCTCTTTGAATTTTGTAAGCTTGTTTTATTTTTTCTTCTTTTATTTTTAGTGTTAGTTTTAGTGACCTTTATATTATTATTATATTTATATTATTTTTTTTTATATTTAAAGAAATATATATTTTTTAAATTGCTTTTTTTAGTTATTTTATTACACTTACTTTGTTTTTATATATTAGATTATTTACTTAGATAATTTTTTTTCATTTTGTTTAAATTTTTGTTTTATCCAAAAACATTAGTCGAAAGTTTATAACAAAAATAACAATTAATATCTAATTATTACATTCTGATTTTGTCAACAATTTTTTTAAATATAAAATAAAGGCAATTAAATTTAAAATTGCATTACCTACCCTGTGTGCCCACCAGTAAAAATATAGGTAACTAAAATCTGTAAAAAAGTTAAATATTAAATTTAATTTTAATTTATTTTAATATTTTTTTGAGTTTAAACTCAAGGTTAGATATTCAACCTATAATTATTATATAATATATTTTTTAAATAATAGGAAATAATATAAAATATATATATAAATATATAAACAGTTATCATTTATATCAACAAAACTTACCTTATCAACAGCACTTAAGGAACATGGCCATTTACCATTACTACTGCTCTGTTGAAAATATTGTAATAAAGTTGCGATGAGTGGTTTACGGCTATTAAGCTACCTTGTACACTTTCGCACTAAAAGAGGTTCTAAAAAGAACAATGTTCGACTGCAAGGTCTGCTAGTAAACATCTTCATAAAGTATCACAACACTATTTATTTAAACCAAAAACTCGTAATACAAAACTCAAGTATCAAAACGAATCGGTGTCAGGAAATGAATAAATAAATTTGGCAACTTGAATAAATAATACTTAAGTTTAAGAATACAAAAGAACTTCGCGAAATATAGACTGTCCAGTAAAATTATTAGTAACTATCGAACATTTTCTTCCAAACATAAAATTAAAAAAATATGGGATTAGGAAGTAATCCAAAAAATAAAAATGTCATAATTTTCTTCTACTCATAAATATATTTTTTTCTTAATATGTTTTTCTTAGACTTAAGTTTTTTAGTAATTTCTATACATATATGCAGAGTAATCCTCCATGCATCATTTCGCCATTAATAATTGAAGACCTTGGGGGAAAATAGTAATAAGCCACATTTCAATCGTTTAGAGAAAAACACGATAAACGTTTTCCATTAAATCCTGAAATGAGGATAATTAAAACATACCTATAAATAATTGTTTTTCTTGTTTATACGACAAAATAGTATCATTCGTTTCCGCAATAAGAAAAATGTCGTGACGGATTTTGAAAAAAAGATGAAATTTTGGAAAAAATGTGGCTTGTTACCTTTTTGCAAAATATTATACATGTTAAATATTTACCAAAGAATGAAAAGCATGATAAATATAAGTAAAGTAAAATATTTATTGAAATCAAAATGTCAATGCAAAATCAAAACAGATATTAGGTTATTTGATTTTAACGAGAAAAATAAACTACTTAATCGGATTCAGAGTCACCATCGATATTTTCCACTCCACCTTCTTGGTCTTCACCGTCATCATCGATTTCATTAACAGTAGTTTTGACACCAACACTAGCATAATAGTTGTGGTAAACTCCAGGAATATATGGAAGTAAAACCTTCAAATTCGCCAACTTTTTTGCATTAATAGGAACTGGGCCAACATACTTCTTTTCTAATGCATTAAGCTCTTCTATCTGTATTTTTTGTCCTCTTCCCAATGTTGACTGCCTTGAATGCTTCATTCAAAAAATGCTTAATAAACATTGTATTATGATGACTTTCTTCGAACTTGAAGCAACGTACTTTGGAAAAATCTACATTTTCTTTTTCATCAGTCAACTTTTTCTTGCTTAGAGATTTACTTATTTTTTCAAAAGAAAAAATGTCATTCTGATTGATTCTATATACCGTAAATGGATTTTGAATTTTCGAATCTTTGACGGCCTCTACCCAACATTCAGGAGAGTAAACTTGTCCCAAGTATTTTTTATGCTTTTCAATTGCAGCAAAGTCTCGATCGCATGGTAAGTGGGTGTGCCCAGCGACAAGGAATCTATGTTCAATAGATTTATATACTTTAGTCCTTACTAGATGAAGCCATAATGCCATAATAGTCCAATTTTTATTTTGGCCCCCACAGTTATCAGTAAACACTATCAGGTGTTGTTGGGAGTGGGAGGATGCTCCTTGATATATTTGAGAAGGCAGCTGGCTATTTCATCGGAGCCTCGTTTCGCCACATCTTCCGTCCACATATTCATATAACTTTTTCCAGTTTTACCGTCATAAATTCCTAAGTTATACATCCAGATTTTTCGTAAGTAGAAAGCTTTACCTACTGTCAGCTGAGGAATAGGCAAGACTTGTTGTAAATCAAAGCATATAACTTCCAAGTTATTTTCATTTTTAGATCTTTGAATTTCATTCTTCATGTTTGTCTGCATCGCTTCTGCTCATCTTTGGTGTAGGTCTAAATTTGTTTTGATTTCCTTCAATTTGTTCTCATCACCTTTGTGGGTATTAAGCAAAGTATTATATTCATCACACGTTGCACACGTGTCGCTCTTAGGGAGTTTAAATCCGATGTTGTATTCAGAACAAAAGATTCTGCGATATCTATCTTCCTTTGCGGGAATAATGTTCCGTTCTTGACACCAAGGGATATAGTATTTTTTGTATAGAGAAGATATAGATATATCGTGATCAATATAGCATTTTTGTCGGTTACGTTCTCTACTATAATGACTACGATATTTCGGAATGGCCTTAATGTGGTCATGAATAGACTGGATAGTTTCTTCAGGTAACCTGTTTTTCCGATTCTTGTGTCTTCCGCGACCATCGCTCTTTGGTGTGTGAAGTCCTTGGTTTATCTGGGTACAGATATTATAAACTCGTCTTTTTGAATTTTGCAAACCATGGATAGATAAAAACTCTTGTTTACAAACTTCTTGGTCTTTTCCGTTGATTTTTACAAAGTACCTAAACGTAGTAGATCTTGAGGATGTCTGCCTTTTGGTTTTCTTTGGGTAGACTCGTTTTTTACCGACACTCTTGATTGTGCCAAATAAATAAGCGTTTTGTTTATCGAACGTTTGTAGGTCCCAAAATGATTGAAATATCGCCATTTCTACTCCGTGTAGTAATTCTCTGCATTTCTTCTTGCAGCTACATGGTGGGCCCGAAGTTCTAGGTATTTGAGTCTTTCCTTGTGTAGTGGTATATCCATGTCCGAGATTTCGTCTATGTTGGGCTTTAACTTTCTTCCCGCATTCTGTGTTGATTTGTCTTTTCCTGGCGGCCTTCTTTTTCTCCGGCGTTTCGATGAATCCTCTAGTAGCACGTCCACCCTGGATAAAAAAATAATACATTACCTTTTTATCGGTTGTTTTCACCAAAACTGAAATTGATAATTTTTTATGCAAAAAGGTAATAAGCCACAAGCCATCTGAAATAACCTAACCTAACCTCTTTCTATTCAAAAATCTTACGCCTTTTTTAGAATAAGAGTACGTTCCATAAACTCAGGTGGAAATAAATACCCAACGCATATTCCAAGTTGCAATAATTGAAATATTTTTAAGCTTTCAAAAACGTTCAAAATTTTAGTTAAAAACGTAACAAGCCACGTTATATTCTATTTACCTCTGAGGTGACAACACTGCTGTCATCGCTGCTGCTACTCGAATTAAAATAGTCCTTATCCCTTACACTATCATCCGTTTCACTCGAAATATCACTACTGTCGCTGTTTTCATCATAAATAAACAACTTTCGCTTAACCGCACTATCTCTGCCGGTCGCCATGATTAAAATATGTGGCTTGTTCCGTTCTTCCGTCAACATCAGACAGCATTCAGTCCTGACCGAAGAACGTCACTAGATAACTGTGGCGCCATCTGTTGCCCAAATACCGCACTTTCTTCCTTGTGGCTTGTTACGTTCTTAAATCAATAAATCATAATATTAAATCAATTTCACTCATGTTGTGGCTTGTTACTATTTTCCCCCGAGGTCTTCAATTAATCCAACAGAAAGTATTTTTTTAAGTTAACAAAATTTTAGTTAAAAAAAAATTAAACTAAGTTAGTTTTTTGCAAAAAAATGCCTCATGAAATTTTTGAAAATCATACGTATTGCTTATTTTAAATGGAATACACCGTATAGTTTACCTAATTTTATTATTAAAGAGAATTTCTGTTCAACTGTTTTGTATCATTTTCTCTAACAGTTTCTCGATATACCTATAACCTATACTGTAAAGCAATATACAGACAACATTATTTCGTTTTTGTAAATCACCGACGCATAAGGGTTGGGACTATTCTAATATATACGTGTCGGTACTTTATCAATCATCAGTCACTGTACCTTACCTAATCCGAGCGGCTAATGTGTCGGCGAATTCCGAATCCCGGAACAAAAGAATAGAGCACATCAAGCAGTCACTGCAAATCCATACAATCCAAGACTGGTAGACAACTTTAAAACTGCCAACAACACGCTTCAAAGAGAACTGCGCCAACTAAAGGATAACTGGTGGTCACAAAAAGCGAATCAGATTCAAGAGTACGCCATGCATCACGATTATCGTAAATTCTTCGGGGCTGTAAAAGAAGTATATATACGGTCTAACCAAGAAGGTAAGCTGCCCAATCATGGCACAAAATGATGGCGTAAGAGGTAGAACAAATGAGAAATCGCTGGAAAGAGCATTACAGCAATATCCTTAACCAAGAAAACAACCTCAATATGGAAGCACTAAACACAATACCTCAGTATAACAGCCTCGATGTATTAGACATCCCGATAACAGAACAGGAAATAAAGGCCTCCGTAAAACAGCTTAAAAACAACAAATCAGCTGGCTGTGACGCGATTCCGGCGGAAATCTATAAGTGTACAAGAATAGAACTCATTGGTCATCTTAAGGCTCTCTTCGATGTCATATGGGAAAACGGAGAGGTAGGTACCTCAGGACTTTCGCAACGCGAATATAGTGAATATATTTAAGAACAAAGGAAGTGCATCAGACTATTGGCTATCGAAGGAAAAATTCTTGCAAAAACTATGTTAAACCGCCTGCACCTATATATAGAAAAAATCCTCCCAGAATCGCAAATGGGTTTCCGTACCAACCGCGGCATCATCGATTCCATATTTTCTATCCGCCAACTACAGAAAAAAGTAAAAGAGAAGCAGCATAACTTCATGTTGCGTTCATCGATCTAACAAAAGCCTTCGACTCTATGAACAGAGATGCGCTTTGGGCAATTTATGAAACTGTTCGGAGTACCCAACAAATTTCTTACATCAGTGTGTAAAAGCCTCCATAACAACAAGTCAAGAGTATCACCATCATGGATCACTGAGCGATCGCTTCCTAACAAATACAGGAGTTAGGCAAGGATGTGTCTTAGCGCCTCTCCTATTCACCATATTCATGGCAGCGCTCTCCATTATAGTGGACAGCAAATTGCAGAAGAGAGGTTTGGGCATTAGACACAGATACGAGACGGCCGGCGCCGGTCGCGGCGGTCTGTTCAACATAAAAAGACTCATGGCAAAAACACGTACAAAATTCATCACAAAACTTCAATACGCTGATGACTGCGTTCTAGTTGCAAACACGTTACAACAATTACAAGAAATGTTGAACGCATATATACCTGAGCATACGAGGCTTTGAGTCTTAAGCTAAACATCGACAAAACCAAAAGTATGTGCACTCCCCGGATGATCACAACAATGCTGTAAAAATCGGAGAAGAACTATTAGAGTATGTCGCGGAATTCAATTATCTCGGCAGTTTGATTTCGGAAAAGGCCAATATTGATTCTGAAATTCAGCACAGGATTAGCAGCGCCTTAAGAGCATTCTGGAAATTAAAAGACAGGGTTTTCTACAATCATGAAACTTGCAGTGTGCCGAGTAATTATAATCCCCACCATGTTATATGGGAGCGAAACCTGGGTGCCGTACCGCCGACACATAAACGCATTAATCAAGTTGCAACAGAGACACCTTAGACAACTCACATCATGTCTCAAACGTATCAGTCTTTGAAAAAGCTAACTGCGAGAGTATTTAAGTTATGGTTACAAAATCCCGCTTAAGATGGGCTGGTCACGTATGCAGAATGCAAGAAAATCGCATACCAAAATCTCTGCTTTACGGTGAGCTTGTAGTTAAGGGGAGGTCGGGTGGACAACTGAAAAGAAACAAGGATATTTTCCACGGAAACTTAAAAGGGATTAACATGCAGAATGAGTGGGAAGAAGCAGCTCACAATAGAACTCAATGGAAAAGAATTGTAAACTCAGTTAACAGCGAAAACCAAAAAGTAAAGAGGCAACAACAGTGCGGTAGGCAGATAACATCAAGTATCGTGCTTTTCAGTCACAGAAAAGCTGATGAAAGACAACGCCTTGCGTGACCATCTTCTGATGCGTGTCGAATACTCGTCAGCGAGTAATGGCAGTAGAATTCCAAATATGCGGCCGGGTCTGCTAGTATAAACTATAACAATTAAAATTGCAACTAGATTTTTTTCGTTATATACATTGTAATGCCAAAAGTTCCAACTATATTGTGCCTTTTAAGTAATACCTATAAATGATTAATTAAATGCTAATAATTGTTCTAATTTCAGTTTTTTATGACATCTATACAACATTTTATATTTTAGATCATTTTCACAAATTTGAATTAAACTCTGAAATGTAATTCGTTCGAATTAAAGTTAAAAAAACGCTCTCCGAAATAATATAAATTTCCCGAAACAAAATCCCGGATAAAAAAATCGCTTGCTGGATTTATGGCGCCCTATATTTTCCAAATTCCCCTTCTGTCTCGTATTTCAGTAACCCCCTACAAAGATAAATTGTTACTAATTAGTAGATAGGGCAAATCTAAAGTATTTCAGCGTTGTTGGCTCTGCACCGTCCACAAATACACTCTAAGCGAATTAATTTCATTAACTCTATCAATAAGGGCCGATGCAGTGACACGAGTAAAGGAATGCCACTTAAAATATTTTCGCCCTTAGGAATAATACTATCGAATTGTATTTTGTCGTGATTTTGTCTTTTAAGTTAATGGAAATTTGTATTAATAACATGAGCTAATTCAAAAAGAATTCTTGATATTGTTTCGAGTAGCGGCAAGTGGTTCTTTGGGGTGCACATCTATATAGAAAAATATGTTAATAAAAAGTTGGTAGGCAGTTCTTTTAGTTTCAAAGTAAAGGAATTTTCCAATTTTTTTTATCTCAAAAACTGAGACTTTGACTGATTTTGATGTTATTACAAATTTTGTTGCAAATATTATTCCTAATCTTAAATTGAAAACCGCGTTTCGCTAGCTACTGTAATTTCGGAGTTACGATTTTTTTTAAATTTTTAACCCCCTCCCATATCCCTTTACCAACCCCCCACCCCAACCAAAAAACTAATGGCCAGATTCTCGGGTGCCACAGTATTTTTGTGCCAAATTTGGTTAAAATCGGTTTAGCGATTTTTGAGTTATCGTGTTACAGACGGACAGACAGACAGACACTATGAAAATATTTTGTATTTAGGTCATTTATGACCCAAATAACTCATTTTGAGTGAAATTAAAAAAAAAAATTTTTGCCGATCTTAATAGCCTCCATACGTATTGGTATAGTCGGCTAAAAATTACTACATACTACTGCCATTACTCGCTGACGAGTATTTGACACGCATCAGAGGATGGTTACGCAAAGCGTTTTCTTTCATGAGATTTTCTGTGACTGGAAAGCCCGATACGTGATGTCTTCTCACAAAAACGGCAAACAAAAACAATAAATAGAATGATTCATAGAATAATTTATAAAGATTCTAATACATACAGGGTGTCCCAGGAATAAGTGCAAGTATTTTATAAGGGGTGGTAGTTCTCGATAAAAGAAACATATTTTCTCTTTATCGTTTTTCAAATAAGTCCACAATAACGGACTTTACTTTGAAAATTTCCAAAAAAAAATATTTTTTGCTAAAATTTTGAAAACCACTGGATCTTTTCTGGATTTTCTTTCTTGTAAATTTAATCTAATACCTATATTGCCATATTGTCAAGAAATTATGTTTTTAACTAAAAATTAAAAAAAAATTCTAGGAAATATTTTTCAAAAAATTTGGAATTCTCAATTTTTTTTTCGCGTAAAAAAACTCATAGGCGTGTTTCTGGGGTTGGGGGTTGAACTATACTACCAGTTAAAATACTTGCACTTATTTCTGGGACACCCTGTATATCTTCTAAAGATATTGGCACCAAACCTTCAACTTTAGCGTCGAGCTCGCAACAAAGACATTCGTACCTACGGGTGGGCACCCGTTAAACTAACTTTCTTCAGTTTTGAACGATATAAATGTGGCATGTTTTGAATGTATTAAACTATAAGAGAAGAGTTTCTATATTATTATTATTTCCCTTTTATTTAAGTTCAGAACAGCATAGGTGGATTCTCTGGAATAGTGATCGGGGTTTTCTCGTGCTCTTTTACTCGTTAATTCCAGGCAGAGTACGGCACTGCATTTATTTCATTTAATAAAATAAGTAGGGCTATTTACAAATTTAGCGTTTTATTTACATAACCTATTCTCCTCAAATTTCAAAAATATTGCTTCTGTCGAGGCCGCATCCGAGGTAATCACAATAAAAAAATATTTAACACAACGTAGGTGCCTTTCTTTCATTTAAATTGTTTGTTATACAGTTGGCCAAAATATTACCTCTTCAACTTTGTTGACGAACATGGGTTGTTACACTACAATTATTAATTATTTGGTGGGGTTAGTTGCGTTGGTTAGGTTAGCTCCCGAATTTTGGAAGCCGGCGCCGGCAGCTTAGTCACTTCCAAAAGTAAAACACGATCAGACAATAGTGCACAGTTATTAATATATGTTTTTTCTTTGTGATTGCAGGATCTTTGGGGGTGCGTAGTGACATCCCAGGAGCACCATCATTCTCCCCGCACAGCAACTAGGGGCGGCCGTGGCGCCATGGCCCTCTGGGATCACCTCCGTCGACGATATGGCACACAAAGGTAAAGGTAATAGTAACCATTACTAATACATTTTTATACTTATCCCATTTGTCTGACTTATCGCCATCATTCCACCTTCCTAGAACCAATAATTAATTATTATATTTTCTTATATTTTATATTAAACATGGAAATTTACTGTTATATCTTTTGTATAAAGTAATTCTGACTTTATTTGAGTATCACTCTTTATGAATCTAAATTATGAATCTAAACATTTCTTTGGCATTATTGAAAGCCACGGAAGAAATCTATAATTGGGTTGTCGATCTTCAGTAATTAAACCCTTCTGAGAAAATGACCACCTTGGACCAAAGACAAGCTAAAAGAGGCTTTAACATCTTGAGGGGTAAATTTAAGCTCTAGTGAGGTGACAGGGATATTTCTCCGCTTAACGACGCTTGTTTTTTACGTTTTATTTTAGTTTAAAAATTGTATTATGTACTCTTTTATCGACTGCTTTTATATAGCCAAGGATGCAAGTGTGTTCAGTGAGAAGTTAATTTTAAGTTTGTGCAATTATATTTCTATTTTTTTTTTCGCTGGACTTCCTAAATACTCGTAAAAATGACTAGAAAGTGTTTAGTGTGTGAAAGTTCTAATATAAAGGTCCCCGAATTATCTTTTCATAGGCAAGTAAAGTATTCAGTTGTTCTTTTATTTATATTAAGCCACATGGATACTTTCTGGTTAGATTTCCTAAGAATATTAATAGTCGTACGGAGTGGCTAAATGTATTTTTCATATAATTTAATTTTTGTGACAGTAAACATTCAATTTATTGTTCAAATATAAGCATTTTACAAATTAAATTTTAAAAAATAATGTTCAAATTAAGGCCGATAAATGTACTAGTCATAACTAGTAATAACACTTTTAATACCAGCGATTTATTTCGGGTAAACTGCCCAAACAAAGCGTTTGTATATGTTCAATCTAACACGTTTTTGGTCTAGAGTGAAAAAACGCGCCATTTAAGACACGGGCAGCCAATTTCTATCAAGATCTCTATCTATCTTGATTCCTGTCTACTGCCATTTAAGGGATTTGACTCTCTTGGTCTTTTGTCGTATCCATTTTATTCTTTTACAATCTGGTTATTCCCAGTATTTGTTAATAAATAAGTTGCCATCAGTAATTGCACTTTTTGGACATTCCGAACGCAATTCACTTTTAAAGTTGATATTATTTGCAGATTTATTTTATTTAGCTGCCCAAAATTTCACGGTGGCGGAAGGTGGTAAATAAATAATGCAATAGTGTAGATTCACACAACACATTCTTTGAATTGCGTATAATATTATGTGTATTTTCTTTAAAAAAACGACTACTTTTTATGACTGCTCGATACTCGACTTTCCCCCACAATTTTACAGTAACCTTCCAACCGTGAAACTATGAAGCATCGAAAATGGCTCAAATTTTAGTGGGCGGCTTTCAAAAGATGGGCAAACAAATTTTGCAGATTTTGTTGCATGAATGTTGCCATACCTATACGTGGTGATGTCGAAAACTTTTTTAACTAATCATATTTTAATTCACCAAGATGCCAACAAAAAGTTTTAAAAATATCAAGGATTGCTGAGTTTTTTGGAAAAAAACGGATTTTTTTGAAAACTAATTTTATTTTTTCCTGTCGTTACTTTTTAGAAATTCAAAAAACTAATTGCATATTCTCATACCACTTTATTAGGGCTATCTGATAGTATTTTTAGATTTTCAAATTAGCTGATAATTTGTGTGATACAGAGGCCAACTTAATTTTTTTAAATACGGATCTGCATTTTTTATTTCAGATTTTGAAAGAACTCAGTCTCCTGAGTGTAATGATATGCCACACTTTATACTTTTTTTTTGTTTTGGGTACCTTAACAGCAACAAAACTATTTAATTATTATTTAAAAAAATATCAAGTCCGACTCTGTTCTTTAAATTATTTAATCTGTTTATATTCATCGCAACAATATTGATCAGTGCTAATTATCATCGAATAAGGAAAATTGAGCCAACTGAAAGATTCAAATAAATAATATCCATTTTTAACTTTTCTTATTGTGAATTTGAAATTCTCAGTGTACGATCTAATAATTTGCATAATATTAATCGTAGTTATTATGAATAAATTAACTTCTACAAACTAGTTTCTAATGCTTTACATAGTCTACATGTTCGAAAGGGTTACCACCCTCCCTATTGCACAAATTTATTTTTTGTTTGGTTTGGTTCAATTTTATTTATAGCTTTTGAATAGATCTTCTTATACTTTCGAATGCATTTTGTACTCTTTATTGCAACTGCCGAGATGTGTTGATTTCACTTTTTTGTAAAATTTGGACCTGTCAAATTACTTGACGTCATCAGACGGCCCAGGTACCTCACTGGCCATTATACTGCTCTATCATTTCCAATCCTTCCAGGGAAAATGATTGTCTTGATGATGATCTTCCGGGGAAATGATTTGATTGTTTATATTACATTTTATTCATGTTATTTTTTATTATTTTTAATATTGCATTTTGATATTGCATTTGATTTTCCGTATTCAGCCCATGTCACTGTTAAGTTTGAAAGCTTATTAATATTGTAATGATGAATGTATTAAATATTAAAAAAAAACAGAGACGGACTTGAAATTAGTTTAAATAAATTGTATCCAAATTTCCAAAACAAAAAAAAATATTAAGTGTGGCATATCATTTTACTCAGGAGAGCGAGTTCTTTCAAAATCTGAAATAAAAAATGCAGGTCTGTATTTAAAAAAATTAAATTGGCCTCTGTATCTCACAAATTATCAGCTGATTTGAAAATATAAAAATACTGTCAGATAGGCCTAATAAAGTGGGTATGAGAATGTGCAATTAGTTTTTTGATTTTCTAAAAAATGTCGACAGGAAAAAATAAAATTGATTTTCAAAAAAATCAGTTTTTTACAAAAAACTCAGCAATCTTTGAAATTTTTAAAACTTTTTTGATGGCATCGTGGTAAACATCCCAAAGCACAACTTTGCCCCAATTTAATCATGGTCGTATCTATTACGGTTACCGAGTTATCAATGCTCGTACCTCGAATTTGTAGCACCCTGTATAGAATTCAAGTTTCGAAAAATCCCTTCTTATCGAAGCTCTACACCCTAAAGTCAATCCGTTTTCCAAAAATCAGCTTTTTGCGTCAAGCGCTTTAAGCAAGATCGTGATTAATCATCAAAGACCAGATTTCTCGAAACACCCTGTATAAATTTTTAAAAAATCTTAAAATATGTAAAAAAACAAAACAAAATATACGTGTTTAAGCGTTTTTTCGGAAACTTAACCGTTTTTTAAATAAAAAATATTGTAATATTTGAGGGGTGGTTTCACCCCCTTGGAACTGAAAAACTTCTTATCGAACCTCTACACCCTAGAATCAACCTGTATGCCAAAATTGAGATTCTTACGTTGAGTGGTTTGAGCAGGATTGTGATTAATCAGTGAGTCAGTCACTTAAGGATTTTATATATCAGTATAGATACGAATGAAAAAAAAATTATCTACCATTACGTAGAAAGAAACCTAAGCCATAAATCAACACAAAAAAAATACATTTTTTCGAAGCGATCCCAACAAAAATCTCTCATCCTTCATCTTCTTCTTTCGGTATATATGTGTTTCTCAGCGGCCGTGACAAATGGAATCTGCTCGTGAAAGGTGAACACTTCTCCATTTTTCTATATAGATATCGTCTGCACGCGCTGCGAAGAAGGTACGAGAGGGTGCGGGTGACGTCTTGAGCCCCATTCTCTGCACAAAAGTCGATTTTAGGGCCACAAAGCGCCCCCTTGGCGTTTTAATGCCTCCGGCGCGTAAGACGCCGCCGCGTCACATCCAGGGATTTTATGGGTATCGTTTGCCGTGGCTGATGGGTATTATGAGCCCACTGCGGGTTCTTTGTGAACCGCGGAGAATGAACTGAGTGTAATTAATGGCCAAGAGGGGGGATGTAGTATTGTTTATTTTGTAATTGTGTAGGATATTTCGTATTTTATGTCCTTTTCTTTGACAAGTCTAGATATTTTGAATTGGTAAATTAACTTGAATTTAAGTATGCGCTTATAATAGGTATTATTTTTTTTCTGTGTGGCGATGGCGCCTCTCACATGCTGCGAAGACTCCAAGAAGAACGGTAGTTTATATTTATTATACAGGGTTTCAAAACAATAGTGTATCTAATGCCGGGTCCAGACCAAGCAGACAAAACAGTGACAAGACAGAAACATTCATGTTTTACGACAATGTTGTGACAAATCCAATACATTTCTGCGACATTTTTGTCTCATTTTTGTTTTGTTTCAAAATTCTGAGACTTTTCAATGTCCCGTCTCGAGTCGGTAAAGATCAAAGTGTCTATGTTTTGTTCGTATATTTTGCGACAAGTTGCCGGCGCAGTGTGGATGGCGTGTGCTGCCAACAGTGGGAGACCAGTGAAATCATACATGGTTAATAAAACTCATTCGCAATAACTAAACTTTTGACTTTTTTGTACTTTTGTCATTGCGGTGTAGACAATTTGTCTCGAGTTGGTCTTGTCAGAAGGCTCCATTTTTTGTGACAAGTTTGTCTTGTTTTTGTCTCAAAATCGTGTTTATTTTTTGTCACCTTGGTTTGGACCCGGCATAACGTATTAGTAAAATGATAAAATGTAAAGAAATTTTCTATAAATTAATCTCTTGATTTCGCTAATACTAAAATTTTAATCTATAGAATCGTTTGTTGTTTTTGACACCCTGTATTATAGTGAGTTCTACAGGGTGACCTCCAAAAAATTTGCTTACCAAAGTTGTTTTTTTTGGAACGGTTAAAGAGGCATATATTTCACATGTTTTTTTGAAAATGAAGAATATAAACTTTAAATTTTCAAAAAAAAGCTACCCAAATTATAATTTACCCTTTATAGCCTGATATTCAGTTAAAATAGCTATTGTATGTTAAATCAAATTAAAATTTGACACGAAAAGTTATACAGGGTGAGG